ATATTCAGTCAAATAGAAACACACGCTGGCTACATCAGGAGTGAATGCAGGATTGTATATAGACGTGTGTGAGTGTTGGGGGAGGGAGCGGGGCTGGGGCACGATTCGGAAAAATAAATAAATAATGGGACCTACTTTGTTATGTAAGCCAATGTGTATGTTCTTAATGCTGATGAGTGGCTATCCACTAGTTTGAGCAGTCATATCTGGGATACAATCCTTTGTCGGAGGTGATTTTTTACTCTTTTGAGCTTGGATTCCACTCTAAACGAGTTGATCCCTAAAGTGACTCCCAGAAAAAGAGGATTTTCACTCCTGTTCATTTAGAGAGTAAGATAATTATACCAATAAGTTTCAAAGAGGGAGTTAGGGCGTGGCCCGGTTGTTCCCCTAAATCCACCACTAGGCAACATGAGGCTCACATCAATCAAACATGATTCTAGCTTTTCCATGTAATATCACGTGAAATCTTCACACATGCTGCAGGAGTATGAGAAAATGTGTTTGGAAGCTACACCTCTCTCATAATTCTGACTGTTAAATCGCAGTCATTATTAAACGTGACTGAGGGAAATTGACGACATCTTGGATCGGTTTAACCTTACCCGAAATAGATCAAACGATCCTAAAATAGACCCCCCGATCTTAAAATTGCATCACAACACATAATCCGAGGGCGGTACTGATGACTCTCTATATGTGGCACGGCAATGTCGGACAATCGAGCAAAATGAGCAGATGACTCTCATCATTAAAGGTGCACTACCAAGAATGCATTCAATCACAATTTTTTGCTACGACGTTGACACACATACACACACAACATAGTTTGGGTGCAAGGTGCTCCTACATCGTTTCAAAGATTATGTTATTATACCATGCTTAAAACAGATGTGTATTCAAAAGGAAATAATCTCAAAGGGCCTATTATCATTAATGCTTCTGAATTTCCTCCATTATATTATGGACCGAAGAGATTGACAAAATACATTACACCCCTTTTCAAAAGTACACTCAAGTACTGAAAAGAAAGACGTTTATCTATGTAACTACGGAGCTATTGAAACATTCATGTAACATTCCACTTGAAATTAAAATAAGGCTTTTCATGTTCGGCAATTGTCTGTATGTTGGAATGGCACTTGTCTCCTCTCACACTCAATTATGTGACTGATTGGTGCTGCGCCAGCGTAAACTTCTTTAAAAATCCTCCCGGCACAATCATGTTTTTAATGAGTTTTCTTTACATTTTTGTTTCCAAATCCGCCCTTTAAATAGTTAGAAGGGCATCGGTCTCCTCTCACTCTAATGCTGTCAAGGGTTGCCGCTGTGCCAGCGTAAACTTCTTTAAAAATCCTCCCACAATCATGTTTTCAATGTCTTTTGTTTATATTTTTTCCTTCAAATGCGCCCTTTAAATTGAGAAGGGCACGAGTCCCGTCTCACAATCGATGCTGCTAAGGGCTACCGCGGAGAGAGCGTAAAGCCACCTCTACGCACCGAAACACACCGCTACACCTCTGTACCTACAATGACGTCAAAGTTACGCTCTCTTAACAGTGCGCCTCGCACTCGCAGTGCGGGTTTGTTACTGACATTAGTCTAAGCAAGATATGAACATGTTTTATTTTTTAACTTAGGGATTTTTTTTTAATTGTGTAAGGAGACACTGTGTTTCTTTTAACCACCCTGGCATGTTGTTCTTTTGTATTTTGATACTTTTGATATTTACTGATTAGCGAACATATCTCGTTCATAATAAAGAAAATGAAATATAAACAATGTAAATCGTCCGCTGCCCGCATTAAGCCGCTACTGCTATTGACAATACATAGCTCTTAATGAGCTTCTTGCGGGCAGCTCTGAAGAAGTGATATTCTAGCTGTACACATTTACCCCCTCTCTCTCTCTCTCTCTCTCTCTCTCTCCCTCTACCTCTCTCTCTCTCTCTCTCTCTCTCTCTCTTTTATTCTATCTCTTTCATTCTCTCTCACTCTCTTAATGAAGATGAATGGAAACCTCAATTTGGAGCTTTACGCCCCTCTACATCTATCTCCCTTTCCCCATTAGTATACACTTTCTATCCTGATATCCACCCTCTCTCCCATCTCTCTAAACATTCCCCTATCTTTGTATCTTAACTGCTGTACTAATAATATCGTATGTCCAAGGCACGTGACTATTCATATAAGTATAATTGTACAATTAAAGGGTTAATCAAGCGATAAAATGGGAGCAGTAGAAGAACAGTGTTTACAAAAGGGGTAAATATTAAGATAGTAATGCTCCGATTTCATACTATGTTCGTAAAAGTAGTTAAGTACATAATGCCAGTGGGTGTAGCGTTATTACTCGCTACGTGGCTCGGTGTACATGGTGTATGCAGTGTGATCATTGAAGAGCGAATCGCAAGCTGGGATGAATCAAAATACGAGAGTTATTTTTACCGTTCTCACCCGGCTAATGTTGGTTTATTCGTTGATGCAATTGCAATAATCCGCTTGATTTAGGCACCCGTCCGAAATAAGTATCCCCTCTCTCTCTCCTCTTTCTCTCTCTCTCTCTCTCTCTCTTTCTCCCTCTCTCTCTCTCTCTCTCTCTTTATTTCTGTCTTTCACTTTCTCTCCCCTCCTCCTTTTCTCAATTCTATCTCTCCTTCTCCATTCCTACTTCCTTTCCTTCCTCCTATCTCTTCAAGTTTCTCTCTCTCTCTTTCTCTGTTTCTCTGTAGCAATCTGGCAACACCCCCTCTCTCTTTCTCTCTTTCTCTCTTTCTCTCGCTTTTTCTCCCCTACTCCCTCGTACTCCGTCTCTCTATCTCTGTTACTCTTTTATCTCTCTCTCTCTCTTTTTTAATTGATTTCTTTCTAACCTTTTCAGCCTGTCTCTCTTTATTTTTCCGTCTCTCTCTGCACCCTCCTCTTGCACCCTCCTCTACCCACCCCCCCCCCCTCCTCTCCCTGATTCGCTCTCTTTTACCTCTTTCGTCCTTGTTTTACGGTAGTGAGGAAAACCGTAACGCAAAGTGAATGCAATTTTTTTTCACTACCGTCACTTCGTGAAAACAGCGACGCTTTGTCTGACTTTCTATGGCATGCTGGCTCTCTCTCTCTCTCTCTCTCTCTCTCTAAACCTTCTTCCCCACCCCTCCCCCCCCCCCTCTCTCTCTTTCCCCACTCCTCCCCACTGTTTACTCATGAATATATCGAATGCCAAGGCCCGCATACAGTATCCGGCTTGCTCGAATCCATTACGCCACTAACATTCCCGCAATCAATAATGCTGTGTTCGAGGTGAAGGCCAACCAGGTATGACGTCATAACCGACTCAAGGGGGAAAGTATATGACGTAATCCTCACATTGAACAGGCCGCCCAGTCTCAGGTGAAAATCAATAGTATGGATAGCTCCGAGCCCTCATCCAAGCCTTCAAGGAGTAAGGGATACGTGTAATCATCATCTATCAAAGAGGACACTAATTCACCAGAAACACTGGCGTATCCAGGGTTCTTTAACAGGGGGGGGGGGGGGGGTATGTTTCCGTTTTTTTTTCTTAGCATAATTGTTATGTGACAAACAATTCAATGAAACACACAAAGGATTCTCTGAAATCCTCGACGAAGCTCTGAGTGACAAAACGATTTACATAATAAATGGAGAATTCAAGGTTTTCAACTCATTTTGATGGAGGGAATGGAATGCCTTAAAAATTCACGCCCTTCCAGACAGAAAAGCGAAAAGAACGGAAAAAGGGTTCTCATACTATAATTTTTTTTCCACAAGCCAGTTCTAAAACACCTACACTTGCAAACTAATATAGAAAAGAAATTTAAGGAAAACGGGTCCTCTTTTAGTACAATTTTAATGCCAATAAGCCAGTGTTACAACTAGGATAAAATACTCGTTTGTCAATAACGGAGGAAGAGAGTGGGCGGGGCGGGGGCGGGGGTCACGCACCCCTTTCTAGATACGTCCCTGGCTGGACTTTATTTGTTTTTGAAGGCGTATATACTACTCATATTGGGTATGACACTATCCGTGTACATGACGTCATAATGCATTAGTGATTTGAGTAAGAGCATCAACAAACACCCTTATTATGAACGCTATATATTAGCCGAGCAACAGGGACGCCGAAAAAGAGCGACGGAAATTTTGAGCAAAAGTCTTATTATTCCTGTCCCTGTTATTCATTTAGCTCTCATCTTGTTATATCCTATTTTACCTATCCTCCCCTTCTCCCTCTTCTGAAGTTTCCACCTGTTTTTAATAAAGATCTTAATTTGTCTATTTTGGGGGTCTTCCTTATTCTAACTTCATTTTCTTGTTTATATCAATTTCCTGTTCAACGTTTCATTTTACTCTCTTTTCACATTTATTCTATGAATATTTAATGTGAATAATTAATTATTCGTCTGATTATTTTCGTGATCGTATCCACGGTACAATAAATAGATCTTTATATGTACATTTTACGCAAAGGGTGAGTTATAATGATTTAACATGATTTGTTTGTTCATCATTTTCAAGACGATCCTCAACAAACAACTTTCTCCAAATTATGTTTGTGCAGGTAACTCCCTTCAATCTACCTATCTCCTACTATAAGTCACCCAATCCTGTCATCCCCTCCACCCCCCTCTCTCTCTCTCTCTCGCTCTCTCTCCCTCTCCCTCTCTATCTCTCTCTCTCACTCACCCCCCTCTCTTCCCTCTTTCTCTCCTCTAAGAAAAGAGGCCTCGGCCCATGGTCTACTTACTCCCTACACACTAAATTCTATAACTTTAGGCTTTCCTCGAACTCGCCAACATATTTGGAAACTTTTCCCATTTCCATGACGTTTTTGGATTGCATCTTGTCGCTTAAATTTCGGTAAAATGTCAGCGTCTGATGTTCACAAATGGCATCTCTGTTACACACGATTTCCCACACTCGGTATAGCCAACCCTTAAAAGATTTCAGACAATATCGGTGAAAGGAATTACACAGTCACCTTGTTCATTACGTAATCAAATTTTTATCAAGTTTTATTTTTGGTACAGTAAAAATTGATTTTTCTTTACACATGTACATAGACATATAATTCAACAATATACAACGTTACAAACACATCACACGTAACAAAAACATATACGAATTCATGTTATTAAAAAGGGGACAATTACAAAATGACGAAGTTTAAAAATCTCGCCTAGAAATCTTCTCAGGCGAAGAAGGCAAAGAACATGTTCTCCACGTTCAACTTACCCGAGGTTACTTGGTTGTGAACATGTACAGAAGAAAAATAAAAAATTTGCACTAATCTTATTAATCAGGAATACCTGATTTAAGTCAATTACAACTATTTACTTGTGTTAACAATGTAACTTATATCTTTTGTTTTAAAAACCTTTTCGTCAAGATTAGAAAATAAACGTCTCGTCTCACAACGAGATTACACGGACAGAAATTTACCGCTAAAATGAGAAAATTAAGCATTTAGTTAAAACAGTGAGTTCAGCCCCTTTGTAGTCTTATCCCTCACTAGATCAAATAATCTGTAATTATAATACTTTCCCTATTATGATATTATCGCTTCTGAGTCTTTTCCCGAGTAAAGTAAAAATCCTCAGGACCTCTTCGTGTGATGTTGATTACCCCCTCTACGTGCGCTGGAAGAAGAGGGTTTGTGTACCTCTAAGTCGAACTACTCACGAAAGAGAAATGGAAAACACCACAAGATGTTGTTTCTAATCACTTAGCGTACACATTAGCGAACAAATATTTAATTATTAGACACTTTGAAATGCATGACTTTTCTTCCAAGATTTGTACCTAATATATTTATTTGGTTTCCTGACTTAAATGATTCATGTCAACTGTAAATGTAATGATTGAAATCACTTTTAAATACCGCTTGAAATTGATCAAGCGCATTTAGCATTGACATCATGTCAATGTCGATACTTTCATGCTATTAACTGATCTTAGTTTTGATATCACAGGGGAAAAAATAACACACGGCCTAAAAATAAAACAATGGTGAAACTTCATCATGACACTAACGACTAGCTTTGAAAGATAAATATCTGTCCTTCTCTCCTTTCATTGTCATGACCATCGTATCGTCACAAAATAAATTACGCGATTATAAGGTTTTTCAGAACTTGCTATATTTGATGATTATGCAGCATCGTTCTATAAACAAAATAATACAGGTTACAAAGAAAACACTTCAGTAAATGCGTGAAAGACAATTTCTATAGTTAACGAATTACAGTTTTAGAATTCAGAATACATTTTCGCTCAATTCCATGAGAAAACAGTATGTACAGGAGAATAAATATTACATAAATACAATTTCAATCAATAACAATAAAGAACACATATAGGCACTTCGCACAGGTCTGAGTCAATAAAAATTATCCAGCAGAGGCAGTGCTTGGAGAATTCAAAAGCAGTATTATTGAACCTTTTTTGAGAAAACAAACAAAGACGATAATCAGGCGGAAAGTGTAAAGGCACTGGCTGGTTTTAGTATCAATAATCAGCATACTTTGATGATGAACTTATTGGAAGAATGCAGAACAATTTTGGGGTCATCTTGTATTGAACTGTAGACCTATAAGTCATGATCTACTTTCATAGATATAATGCTCGTGTCCATTTTTCTGAATTATCTACTTTGATCGTTCTATGTCTGTCGTCATCTGCAATGAAAGACATTGACCATTACAACAGACATGTATTTTACCGCTTGGTTTTAGGACAATACATTCAAATAGATGTAAACAAAATGGGTTATAATTTCCTATTAAACATGGTGAACATAGTACTATGGGCAACTTAGAATATAAGAGGATACAACTGATTTGGACACACATACCTGAAGTGGTGCTTTTTTGTTTTTTTACTTCAAAAATATATGGACATCAGTAGATAGATGGCGCTATTCGATGTCATGAAAAAACAACTTCGACGATAGCTTTCATTTTTACGAACTTGCTGAAGAGTAACTTAGATAGCTCTGAGCTCAAGTACAGGAAAAGTGTATCGGATAGAAAAGAATAAAAATACAAAAATGGGTAGATAGATGAAAAGAAAAGATGGACGTCAACAAGGACAGAGAAAGAGAGACAGAGAAAGATGCATAGCCAGTTAATGGATAATTCTTGGTCCAACAAACAATTCCCCAAACTCGTTACTGCCCACCATGATGTAAAACGGCAGCATATACGATTCTTGACCGATTGGAGCATCTCCAGATTGTACGCCCTTTGTGTGGTCTTCGCACTATCATGGCTACAGTAAAGAGCTTGAACCAAAAGCATCCGTGTCATCAAGCATGAAGATGTCAGGTGACCTGAATGCAGATCACCTGACTTATACGCAACATCGTTCACCTTTTGGCACACGATGAATACGACTTGGACGTCCAGCCCAGGTGTTTTTGTTTCTGTCGTCATCAGTATGCACAAAGCTCGCTTGTCGATGAACTCACAAAACGACTGGCACGAATTCTACTTGATCTTTGGTTTTAAGAAAGTTGAGCAACATCTCTGTTACTCTAACGTTAGCTCAGAGGCTGAGATGTAAGATGACATACTCTCCCATGGAATCCTGCAGGAAAAGATAAATGAGAGAAAAGTTCAAATGTTTGTAAAAGATATACGTCGCATTGCATTATCTTGTATCACACCATGTCGTATTTCTTTTGAAATTACTATTTTAAATTATGTAAATTACTTTGAATTTCCAGATTGAGCCTAACTGATTGTAATTATATTAAAAAAACGCCGTGGTAAAACACAACAAAATGATGCATCCTTCTGACAAAAAAAGAAAAAATCTTTAGCATTTATCGCATTTATTACCTCTTAAAGGGAGGCTTTACTACTTCAAGAAGGGATTAGACCACCAAGTAAGCCATCGAGGTCACTGTGACAGGTGGCTATCTCATTAACTCAGCTCTCATTTAACATAATAAAAAGAGGCTCATGGGGGACCAACAGGCACCGATTTGGGAAGTTTTCTATATAGAGGGAGCAAGTAGCTACAAGTAGGACAGTGTGCCTTTAAAATTAACGATAATAAGCACTACATTACGGAAAATCTATGCCAAAGCGTTTCTTAAGATATTTTAGATAACAAACGAACAGTTTGATCAGGTGCGAACCATCCTGAATTATATCCCATGAAATAATTGTAAACACATTTTTTAAATTTTGCTCCCTCTTGATTTCAAAGAACATCTCTAGGATCAATACCTTGTCGACACACGCAGGTGAAACCATCGAATTCTCTGAGACACGTCCCGCCATGCAGGCAGGGTTGACTCTCGCAATGGTCGATGGCCGTCTCGCAGTACTCTCCAGTAAAACCACTGCCACAGTCACAGGAGTACCCATCGACGTGGTTGATACATCGCCCGCAGTTCAGGCACGGTTCGGAGGCACAGAAATCGGCCTCTACCTCGCAGAGTTGGCCTAGAAATATGGAATAGAGGAAATATAATGAAACATTTTGAAGCACAATGGCATATACAATTGTAAGGGAATAAACTATACCAATGATTTGAAAAACAGTGAATGGGCGATATGGCGAAAGAGATAGATAGAGAGAGAGAAAGAGAGAGCGGGAGAGAGAGAGAGAGAGTAAAAGAGCAGGAGAAAGAATGAATTTAGATCCTAAATGGGGAGAAGAGTAAAAGAGTATTCGTACAGTTGTGGGGAAATATATCAGAAAGTGTGGGAAATATATCAGAAAGTATAAGAAAGTGAAAGGCTATAGAAGGAAATAGAAGAGAAGAGAGAATGCGTGTGTGAAAGAAAGAGATAGAGAGAGAGGGAGAGAGAGAGAACGAGAGAAAGGGATAAGGGGGAGGGTTGAAAGGGGAGGTTGAAAGGGGAAAGAAAAGGGTAGTAAGTATGATATTATAGGTACAGTAGAAAGGAAAAAAGTTTTAGCAATTATAAGAAAGACGGAGAACATAGAAGGAAGGGAGAAAATAGAAGAGAAAATGAGAGAAGAGAGAAGATAGTGGGGAAGAGATGAAGACAAATAAAAAAAGAGATGGATGGTGCTCAAAAGAAGAGACAGATATTTGGTAAATATCTTACCTGTCCAACCAATCTGACAGTGGCAGTAGAAATTATCATCCTCGATCGAATCAGTAGCGATGCATGTGCCTCCGTGCTGGCAGGGATCCGAGACACAAGGGTGCTTGGTGTCCCTGCATCCATGTCCTGTATATCCAAGCGGGCACACGCAAACGTACCCCATGACTTGATCCACGCAGGTACCTCCATTGAGGCAAGGGCTGTTCGCGCAGTCGTTGACGTTGAGTTCACAATACGATCCAATGAATCCCATGCCACACTGGCACTTGTACGAGTCCACACCGTCGATGCAGTCCCCGTAGTAACACGGATCGGATGCGCATTCGTCGATGTTCTGATCGCAGGACCTTCCTGCGAATCCCCGTTGACAGTCACAGAAGAAGGTCCCCTCGTACGAGAGGCAAGTAGAGTCATGGTGACAGGGGTTGCTTGAGCAGGCATCGATCCATTGCTCGCAGGTCTTCCCCGTTCGCATCTCTGGACACAAGCACATGTAGGTATTTAACAGGTCGAGGCAAGTTCCGCCTTCACCGCATGGTGAGCTGGCGCACTCGTTCGTGTTTACACTGCATTGATCTCCATGGAATCCTGCAGCACATTGGCATTGGAATCCTGCCTCTAGATCGATGCAAGTCGCTCCATTGCGACAAGGATCTGAAAAGCATTCATTGACGTCTTCCTGGCACAAGACGCCTGCATACCCGACATCACAGACGCATTTGAACAAGTTCATATCATCTACGCAACTACCACCATTCAAGCAGGGTGAGCTGCTGCATTCATCCATATTTTCAGCGCAAAGATTTCCCGTAAATCCGTCCCTACATTCGCAATAGAAACCATTGATGAGATCCACACACGACGCACCGTTCTGACAGGGTGCACTAACGCACTCGAAGATATCAACATCGCAAGTATTACCTGTGAATCCGGAAGGGCAAGTACAACGGAAAGAATCAGTTTGGTCCAAGCACGTTCCATTGTTCGCACAAGGGTTCGAGAGACACTCATCAATTTCGTACTCGCATAACCGTCCTTCAAATCCCCGAGGACAGATGCAGAAGAAATCGTTGACCAAATCTTGACAAACTGCTAGAGGGTGAAGACATGGATCCTGGGCACATTCGTCGAGGTCGATTTCACAGTTCACCCCGAAGTGTCCTGGTGGACAAACACAATGGTACATTCCTATGGCATCTACACATCTTCCACCATGAAGACAAGGTGTGCTGAGACACTCGTCAATTTCCGTCTCACATCGGGAACCTTCGTAGCCTTTCGGACATGCACACATGAAATCCATGCCATTTTCCAAACTGCGGCATGCACCGTCGTGTTGACAAGGATCGGAGATACAGGAATTTACCAGTTGTTCGCAGACAACGCCCTCTGTACCGCTTGAACACTGGCATATGAAGCCATCCGTCAGGTCATAGCATTTTCCCCCGTGAAGACAAGGCATGCTAGCACATTCATCGATGTCAAACTCACACCTGGCTCCAGTGAAACCTGAAAATGAATGAAAGGAAAAACAAATAGATTACACATCCGCGTAAACCTTTCTGGTCCCATTAAAAGTTTGAATCAGTCAATGAAGTTCTTATTACGCATCGAGACCTACTGAACCATAGTGACCCATTTTATATACATAACATGACTATCAAGATCTATTTTTATATTCTCTTTATGCAGTGATTAGTTCAAGGGTCGCATTTCAATACAATTTTGACAATACAAAAACCGCTTCGCTAGGTTTATAAGAGAGACAACAAATAGAAAATGCAAACTTGAAGAAACCATTCCAAGTATATTCCCCAATCAAACATACCTAAAGGCCTTATTCTTGGAAATTATTATAATGATGCAGTGGTTATCCTTATTTCATGATCTGAAACTAATATACTTTCGGTACAATTATTGTTTGGAAGAAGGACAAACCTGGTTTACAGGTACAGTTATAATCATTGATCCCATCCAGGCAAGTTCCGTTGTTCCCGCATGGGTTGTTCTGACATTCATCGATGTTGACCTCACAGTTCGTCCCAGTGTAACCCGCCTCGCAGAGACATCTGTAACTGTTAATCATATCGATGCAAAATCCATCGTGGAGACAAGGGTCACCGGCACATTCATCCGTTTCACTTCCGCAGGTCGCACCGACAAATCCCGGCATGCAATCGCAACGGAAGGAATTCACGCCGTCGATGCACGAACCGCCATTCTGGCAATGCACCCCGATGCAGTCGTTGATTTCAACTTCGCAGTTGTAGCCTGTGAAACCATCCCGGCAGAAGCACTGAAAGCTGTTGACGTTGTCAACGCAGGTGGCGCCGTTCAAGCAGGGTCTGCTCTCGCATTCGTTTACATTGACTTCGCAGTTCACACCAACATACCCCGGAAGACATTCGCATATGTAGTTCGAAATGCTATCAATGCATAAGCCTCCATGCCGACAAGGTTCAGACACACATTCGTTGATGTTCAGATGGCAGGTTTTACCCATGTATCCTGGAGTACAGGCACACTGGAAGTCATCGATGAGGTCAGTGCAGATACCATTGTTCTGACAAGGTCCTGTCCAACACTCATCAATGTTGTGCTCGCAGATGATTCCGTGATACCCTGCCGTGCATGCGCAGTAGAACGTTCCAATCCCATCAATGCACACTCCGTCGTTCAAGCAAGGGTTTGTTTCGCATTCGTCCACCGTTATCTCACATTGCATGCCAGTGTACCCGACAGGGCAATTGCAGGTGTACGCACCGATCAGGTCTACACACTCGCCACCATTCTTGCAGGGTTGCGAGAGACACTCGCGCACTTCCATGCTACACGTTTTCCCGGTGTAACCCTTGGGGCAATGGCACACGAAATCAAGACCCGTGTTTAAGCATATGGCGCCATTCAGACAGGGGTCCGGTGTGCAGAAGTTCATGGTGTTCTCACAGTGCCTTCCAGTGAATCCTAGAGGACAAACACAGAAGAATCCCTCTACTGTGTTCAAGCACCTGGCATGGTTCATGCAAGGTTGTATGGCGCAGTGATCGACGCGAAGTTCACAATCCCTGCCTGAGAAACCTGGGAAGCAGTCACAAACGTAGTTATCCCCGTTTGCATCCTCTTGACAAGTTCCAAACTGGCATGGTGCCGACTGACAGGGTTTTAGTTTCTTGTGGCAACGTTTCCCAGAGTACCCTGGCAAGCACACACATTCGAAGTCATCTATCAGGTCTATACAAGTACCACCGTTTTTGCACTTCTGCTTCTTGGAACCTCTTAGGCATTCATTGATCTCTGTCTCACAGTGTGGCCCTTCGTAACCACCCTTGCATTTGCACGTAAAGTTGTTATGACCATGATCGATACACTTTCCGCCGTTGAAACACGGCGAACTCCTGCACGGGTAGACGTCCAATCTTTCGCAGTTAGCCCCAGTGTAACCTTGAGGACAGACGCATTCATATCCTCCTGGTCTATCGAGACACAGTCCTCCGCTCCCACAAGGATCGCTCCTGCAATCATCCACGTCGTGCTCGCAGGACTTGCCGAAGAACCCATCTCTGCAGATACAAGCGTAATCAGCCACAAGGTCCACGCAAGTCCCGCCGTTGCTGCACTTCAGAGGATACATGGAGCATTCATCAACATTTATCTGACAACGCGTCCCGCGAAACCCATTCGGACAGATACACGTGTAACCATTTAAACCATCGATGCACATGGCGCTGTTCAGGCAAGGTTCGCTGTCACACCATCGGTGACCTCTCTCGCAGTTGATACCACTGTAGCCTGATCTGCAGAGACACCTGTAGCCGTAGTTGGTAGACACGCAGGAGCCGCCGTGTCTACAAGGGTTGCTTTCACAGTTGCTGACTCTGTCTGAACATGTATGCCCCGTCCATTCGTCGGTGCACAGACAGCTGAAACCCCGAGGAAGATTCTGAGAATGAAAATGAAATAAATATATCATTATTCCATAAATAAAAAACAAAATAAATAAAAACATTTTAAAAACCTAAATATAAAATAGCAGGGGGTGTAAATGACAACGTGTGTCATTTATTTAGAAAATAGATACACAAATAAAAGAACAAATAAATATAAAATGGGGGGGAGGGGCTATAAATGACAACGTGCGTTATTACCTGTTAGATTACGTTATATCACACAGTTGTCATGATTGATAACGTATAGAAGTGTCTTCACAATAGATTAGATTACAATGCTTCAATGGAAAAGATATTGGTAACCAATACCCACACTCACAATAAACCATTTAACAAAAATTGAACAGTAGTCTGAAATCCTAGAGTTTTATACAGAATGAGGCATTGTTTCTCAATCTGTCTTTGCTATATTTAATTTTGATACTCACAAACATTTACATAAAAAAAGACATTCTAATTCACATCTGTTTTGCTATATTCAGATACATCATTTCTGATCAAAAATGTCAACAACAAAAAAGAATCACATCAGTCGTATCGAAGGAAAACGATATATAGGACGCTGAGGGCTGAGACAAAACTATGTAAGGAACCTACCAAGCATGTTCCTCCATTTCGACACGGTTGGCTTGTACAAGGTCCTCCGAAAGATACCAAGAGTCTGTCTGCATCCTCCAAATCATCATGCTTCGACTGTAAGGGAATTGAAAATGATTGCCGTTTAGAAAATGAATTTGCTTTCATTCTTAAAGGAGTGAAAGATCACTTCGTTTCTGAATTTAGGCATGAAAATGTACTCAAAGAGTAATCGATCCGTGCCTAGATTTCAATGATCACTCATATTTCAATACGGCATTTCATTTATTTACAATTCGAGCAAGTTTTTTTTATTGGTCTTGTGTGTCTGACAATATTGAGCAATATCATCACTCTTTCTGCAAATACCTCCCTTCAAATAACGTTATGCTACATTTTGTAACATCTGTTTTATTATTCATACGTCTGTAAACTGAAAGGTATTTGATTTACTACTCTCGATGGGTTGCTACTTTTGCAAGCGTTCAAAGATGCATCGTCAGAAATTGAATAACCAAATGATGTAATGCACTTTACAACTTTTAATAATAATGTAAGAAAAATGGTACCAGGTTTATAATGATTCTTTCAAAATTACACCATGTCACAAGTATCATGAGCACTGTTTTTGCGTCCATATGATAGCCGAATATCAAGTACAAGAAAATAAAACCACACAGAACGCTGTACTTTTGCCTGGATCTCGGGATATTTATTCAACATAATAAAGACATTATGCGCATCATCTACCTTCTTCTATTTGATACCTCAATTGCCCCCCCCCCCCTCCCGACTCAAAACGTGCGGAAAGAAAGAATATGTGCTACCCCTGATCACTTTCTCCCGATTTCATATTGCGCGGCATCTGTTTACCAATCAAATGGGATCACTCAACTGGGCGATCCCCCAGGCATCTCCACTCCCTCCTAACTTGACCCTAGCTCTAATCAATTACCAGGTACCGTGGCGGAAAATGAGAGGGAGGGCGTTGTGAAAATTAAAGGGAGAGAGCAGGTATCCACAAAAACAAACACAAAGTTTGAAGGCATATTAAAAAATATTCCAATAAAAGATATAATCATTTTATTGGTATACATCGTCGTGTATTGTGTACTATCATACCGATGATTTAAGAGTGAGCGATTAAAAAAAGTATGAAGAGTCAAATAAAGAGTTGTGTTCTTGATGATATACCTCAACTTGTTTATATTGCAAGTCTACTATTATAGGGTCTAGATTGTCAATATCATATGTTTCAGAAGACAGAGAATGAAGACATGCTTACTTTATTTCATTTTATGCAACAAAACAATATTATAATTAACTGCACTTAACGACCTAAAAAACATTTGTGTTCAATATATGTTGTGAAGTTCCAACTTGGGGGGGGGGGGGGGGGGGGGTTGATGGTAGCTCTTCTATAATAAGCTTCTCTCTCTCTCTCTCTCTCTCTTCTTCCCCTTTCTCTCTCTCTCTCTCTCTCTCTCTCTCTTTATCTATCTCATTCTAAGTAATGTTCATTTTCTTTTTACAAATCTTCTCCTTAATGCCCCTTTACATTTGTGTCTATATCTCTCCCTTTATCATATTAACATCTTCGTCTAGAACATGACTCTATAAAATAACCAACCCTACCTACCCTAATTAGATTGAGAACATCGGGTTCTGTCGGGTCAGGTCCAGGTCCGATTGGTGGATGAGGTCTTGCTTCGCTGCTAAGATGATTCTTCACCACACACTCCCTGCCTTGAGGACAAGGCGCCGTGCCCTGCGCAGACGATGGGACGAGCGGCCAATTTCTTCCGCCACGTCGTCCCGCCAGTTTTCCGGGCCTGTCCGACGTTGAGTTCGGCGGTGTCATTTCGATGTAAATGGACGTTGGCGCATAGTCGGGCTCTGTAAGAATGACATATAACAAAGACAACCGTGTCGAAATGATGATTTAAGACAACTGGGGTTTGTTTCAAGATGATTTTTTTTTTAGTGATTTCCAATATATCTAATTGCGCGTCTCTAGAGACGAACATTAAAGATTTCACTCAAATAATCTTGATATCCCTGGCCATGGACAATGTACTGTTTAGGACATGACCCAGAATGACAACATAGTTCAAACATGGAGAGGTTCCTTATTACCTCTGTTCATTTTTAGAACAGGTGCCCCACAGTTTTGTTTCCCCCTTCGAAAGAATACCTCCATACACCTGTTTGTTGTGCAATGTTGCATAACAGATGATGATTACACCGTTCGCTCTGCATAATAAGTGAATATTGACTACACCGGTAGTGCATAACTTAATAATGATTACAGTGCTGTTGCATAAAACGAATAATATACCACTAGTGCATGAATAGGGACTTTTAGATTTGCACGACGAGAACGTGGGCTGCTACGTGTGACATCCTTTTAAGTCAACGTGACGTCTTTTTAAGGCACTGTCGGGCACTGCCAATGCCTTAGTTAAAAGGACGTCACATTGCATTAAAAGGATGTCACACGTAGCAGTCCACGTTCTCGTCGTGCAAATCTAAAAGCCCCTATTGACTAATGACTGCACCCTCTGTGTATAAATCAATTATAACATAACTTTCATGAGAATGTCACGAATCGTTATTTGGTTCGTCTTCGTGAAATCCACATTTTGCGTCGTCAAAACCCATACATAAATTTGTAACAACTGACTGGCTTTTTACATTGTACACTGTATATAATACCCCTCTGAATATCTCTGGCAACTACTTTGATTAACGCGTGTGGTTTCACTGTTTGCAACATTAAAATAGTTTATTTACGATGTGATCATATCAAATGCACATAATATTTCGATTTTTGTTGTAAAGTTACCATTATGCAGGAGCGGAAAGGGGACGGGGAACTGGGGACAGTGCCCCTCGTTGATATTCATTGATACATTTTTCTTTGTAATAATCTCTAGAATTTTCTTTATACTGTCTCTTTCTTTTCTTTGTAATTATTTATGGTTCTTTGCAATGATCTCCTTTTCTTTGTAATGATATCTTTTTCTATGTAATGATATCTTTTTCTTTGTAATGATATCTTTTCTTTGTAATGATCTCTTTTTCTTTGAAATTTAATCTTTTTCTTTGTAATGATCTCTAGAAAGATAAGTAATTTCTGTGATCTCCGTCAAAGCTTACATTCTACCATTACGACGATTATTATACTATCACGATTAAAAATAACTGACTTTCAATAGAAGCAGAAAAATCAGACAAACCAATCAAAACAAGTTTGAGCAAAATCTGTAGATATAAGAAACAAAAACGATCTTTTTACACCCCAGAAGGCACAGTGATAAGATTGTTTTGATCTTAAATATACGAATCTTGAGCGATTATACTGTTTCACTTTAAATAAATAAATATTCTACTCACAAAAGTGCTTCTTTCATAAATGTGTATAATCGTTTGTAATTCCCTATTTTGGTTACTGATTTAATTCTGTTTCAATAATAAGACTATTTGCAGTGCAACGTAAGTTGATATCTTTTGCATCATCCCTGTTAATAAATGCAAACTGAATACTTGCGTTCCAACAAAAAAATGTAGCAGACAAAATGTGGATCCGGAGTAAGTCAATATTTACCAGATTGAAATCAATGATTACATTTTGGCGGTTCTTCTTCATTTCATATTTTGAATGATGGTTGAATAATGTTTGCTCCAAATAACAGAGAGACGGTCTTTGGCTGTCGGTTCTTCAAAGTATCTATTTCGGTCACAAACAAAGACTAGAGGTGACATTATGATCCATTTCGTTGAAAACTTAATCGGGTACTAACTCCCCATAAACAAAATTATCTATAAGTTATCTGGAATGCACATGGGAGATCGTTTGAGTTGAAAATGAAAATAGTTATCTGTTATTCAAGGTCCTCCGACATTATGCTCCGGTAGCGATCGCTCTGGATTTCATTTTGTCAAAGATTTAGGAGTGGGGTTAGTGTCGCAAATGGGTTTAAAGTTAGCTTTAGGTTCACGGTCCAGGTCTGAAGCTAAGAATGTTGTTATGGTGTATGATATTGTCCGGTGAGCAATTATCGCCAGATAATGTGTCGTATAGTTGTCTTCGATGGGAAGAAAATATCGACGCTCTTAAACGTGTTAAATGCATGCACATAGTTGGGGCGCTTTTTTCGGGGGGGGGGGGGACCATAAACAGTGATAGCTGGCATAGACTTTTAACGAGATGAACATCCTTCTCAAACTCGTATTTAAATTATCCCTAATCACACGTGGCCCCAATAACAAGGTGAATTTAATTGGAATAGTTATTTGGAGTCTTGGGATGCCTCTCATATAGTACGACGTGGCTTACGATGATCTAGTATATGCAGTGGATATATAGCGTAGGACGAAGGTGGCGAAGCCCCCCCCCCCCCCTCCCCCCCCCCCACAAAAAACGGGATACTAAAACATAAACGTGAACATTTCTGGAGCACCTTAAGAACAGAGCATTTTGCAAACACTGTTATAAAAACTGACAAGGGTTTCTGCTATACGCAAAATATATGCTTTAGCCGTGAAAGCAAATGCAATATGAACAATAACAGAAACAAGCAAACAACAATAACAACAGTAGCTGCAGCATCTACGACAACAATATCATCAACAACAGCAAACAAATACCATTTACATGTACATTCCTATTTTTATTTACCCATTCCCTGAAATAGAGAGAGAGAGAGAGAGAGAGAGAGAGAGAGAGAGAGAGAGAGAAAAGTGAGGGAACAGCAAAGTAGATTCTTTTAAAGGGTGGGGGAACAGCATAGTATATTTACAAAAATAGTCTGGTCATGTCTTTTATCATGAACTGCAGATGCGTTGTAGGTTTAACAGAAAGATTACTTGTTTTTTATCTCCATGTAGTTGCCATTGTTATCACGTAAATTGTTATTAAACATTTTGTTGGCATATTTGTTTACAAAAGGGGATACTGAATCTAAATAAAGCCTATTTCGTTAAAGATAAAGTTGAGTTCTGGTCATGCGATTACATTGTGAAAGAAAAGGTGTGGAATGGATCAGAACTTAAGTTCAACATGTAGCATGTAAGTATTGGTGTGTACTACAAGGTTCTGGAGTCATCAAAATCATAATAAATTTGGCCCAGTCTTGGTAAAGGAACAAGCACTGTACACAGAAAGATGTATATGGGACTACACACAAAATGTCGAGGCTAAAGTGATTTCCTGGTCTTTCTATGCTCATTACTCAGCCAGTATACATTTTCTACCAAAATTGTTTGGAAAATGACATTTATTTGTAATCTTGAACATTCAGTGTAAGTTTCGTTTGATTCTGTGAGAACTGATTTTCTTTTTTATGACCAGAACTCAAGTTTATCTTTAAGTATCTCTACACCAAGGTCATTTAATGGTCTGATTGCGCCATGCTATAGGATCTTCACCGTGATAGATTGTGTAGTTTAAACGGTATGTCTGTATGTCCACTAAACGCATTTCTGTCATCGTAGTCCCATGTGTTTTATTTGGTGTCATGTCGAAGTCAGATGCCAATTTGTTTGTGTCAAATCAACTTATACGGCACATTTGGTGAGCACACCAACAACACATACAAGTGTTCTATCATCCCCTTCTCCCCCTTCCGCTCTCTCTCTCTCTCTCTCTCTCTCCCTCTCTCTTTATCTTTCTCTCCCTCTCTCTCCCTCTCTCTCACTCCCTCCCCCTCCCTCCCTCTATCTCTCTTTCCCCTCGCTCTGCCTATCTTTTCCTCCTTACAATTTCATTTGCCCAATGTATTTGTCCCTTTACAATGTCATGTTGCATGAACAATACAAGAATACGTAGTACCGTGAAAGTGATTCTCTTTCGGTCAAAATTAGTATTCCTTTGATCTCTCATTTTTTTATTAACTTGGGTGATTGTTTTGCATGTTCGTTTATAGTTCGATAATTTGTTATTTCATGACGTGAAAGAAAACTTTGCAGCACACAGGCCTAGAGGACGCAAATTGTATTTGAACATGTGCAGGCCTGTAAGACCAACTAGTATGACCGGAGCTGGTGGTGCCTAGCAGTTGGAGAAAAAATTACTTCAATTCCATCTCATTTAAATTACGTCTTGTCCAGATGAAAAATACACCAACAGGAGCAACAAGATGAATATTAAAGCGCTTTTAAAACCACATGTCTCAACCTTCATGATTGTGATGTTGTTAACGCTAGGGGCATCATTAGACTTTTTAATTCGAAGGAGGGGTGTCGAACCAATTCTACTCAAAAGGTAGAATCTAATGAAGTCTTTATTTGGGCCAGTTTTGTAGCTCTCAAATTAAGGATAATACTAAAATTAATAATAATTGGGTAATATTTACCAAGAGTAGCTACATCAGTATTGATAATGCTCCTACGGGCCCTGCAATCAATATCGATTATTACCCCAGCAATAATTGTCAGGTACCCCCTTTACACCAGGGTGGAGAGATGCAAATGTGGGTTAATGTCTTGCCAATGGAAATTAGTGCCGGGCTGGGATTTGAACCCTCAACCCTTTGGATTGAGAGTCATGTGAATAAACCACTTTACCACAACATCTCCAAATTGCAAATTCGCCGAGAGAAGATATAAATAGGGGCGGAGGTGCACATCCTTACAGCACCTCCTCTTGGTTGGGGGACGCCCTTAACGCATCCATCGCGAAGCGGGCAAGCTGGTAAAGCCATTAAGCCGAGCCCCATCTTGAAGACGCTGATGAGCCCTGACAAGCCTGGTGACCTACCTTTCCAGTTTGGCCATCCGCAATAGATACACGGATGACACAAGCATTCCCCAAGAAGAATAGACAGGATGGATTGATACCAGGTGACCCTGAGGCCTGACCCATCGCCTACCGTTTAACCCCAAGCATCCTCTTT